TAGCTACAGTCCAATAAGAAATGAAGGTATAGTTTTATGTTTTTTTTCTTGAAAGGTTGAATGTTTTAACTAAGTTGTTCAGCTCTGTTATCTATAATGGGTTCCCAAACATTTTCAGACTGGAACCCGCCTAATGATGAGAGGTAAATTCTTTTGTCTCGATGGGGTTGACATAGGGCTTGGAAATAAACAATATCACATCGAGATCATTATAAAATTGGTCAATGACTATGATAAGCTGTGGACATTTTACTCAATTGTGATTAATCTATCAGTCTATAAGAGCAGAAATAAATGCGACAACAGCCAGTCAGTGCATGTCGCTAATAGGGCTGCGTGTTCTGCTTTTTTCTTTGTGAATGAATGGCATAGTTTTGTCTGCTACACAACCAAGGACATGAACACATTCATTTTATTACCATAGCTACTCTGACAGTCACTTTTCACTGTTTAATTTTAGAAAAGCTACCGTCAAATACTCAGTGAAACTCAAAGATCTTCATGGCAAACTGCCAAAATAAAAGTTTGGTTTAATTTGAAGAAATTATGACAAATATTACTATTGTACTATTACTATTACAATTATAGTTGTAAAATAATTATATTTTCTTTTGCTGATAAGATCAGGAAAATTGTGAATAAGTCATGCTTACTTGTCTTATGCAGTCATGCTTACTAGACAATATATTTCCAAAAAAAGATGTCTACTAAGCTTTTACATGTATCTTTTCATTGAAAAACTCTTTTGGATCTGTTTTTGTACAGACATAGAGCCCAGATCACAGCGACTACTTCAGAAGGGTAACAAAAACAAAGATGCTTTACGGAGAGTTTTGCTTACCACACAAATGAAGGTCAGATGAATTTATTCAGATGAAAGTTAATGAATTTATGAATCTCCTGAAGTTTCAATCTTATAATCCTTGTTTAGTATTTTATAGGGTTTTTATAGCATATGCATTATATCCCTTACAGAATCAGCTTACCACTATGAATGTTCCGAAGAGAGAAAACTCCCAGATTGAGGGACCATCGATCTGTAATTCATATGGTTTTAAAGTCAGTATGCAGAACTTGCAGGAGGCCAAAGCATTGCATGAGGTAGGATCTTCTTTTGACTGTGTTTTAGTAAGAACTGCTTTCATTAAACTGAGTGATTAATCAAACTTACATAAACACGTAAAATATAGTTTTAACAAAGGGGGGAAAAAAGCTTTGTCTTCATGTCATGTCACATGGCTAGAAACTCAAGTTTATTTTTATGGGAATTCAACTGATCTCATCTTACGTTTTTATCTCCCTGCTATAGGTACAGCACCTCACAATGATAAGCATGGAGCTTCATGCAAGGACTCGTCGTGACCTTGAGCCTGACCCTGAATTTGACCCAATTTGTGCTTTGTTCTACTGCCTCAGTTCTGATGTCTCTCTCCCAAATTCTGACACTACCCAGATGACAGGTGCCATTGTCATTGATAAAGATTGTTGTTCTTCAGCTCAAGGTGAGATTGGTGTTGTGTTTGTTTATTACTGATGTGTGTACCAATTGTAATTGTAAATTACAAAAAAAAAAA